AGTTTTTTTTATATAAAAATATATTAAAACCACCTACATACGCTTTACGCCCAGTAATTCCGGATAACGCTTGTATCCCCCGTTTTACCGCGGCTGCTGGCACGGAGTTTGCCGATACTTTATTTACTTAAGTGTCAATATTCACTTTTAAGTAAAAGAAGTTTACAACTAAAAAATAAGCTGTCTTCCTTCACGTGACGACGCTCTGTCAAGCTTGCGCTCATTGCAGAAGATTCCCCACTGCAGCCTCCCGTAGGAGTTTGGGCTGTATTTCAATCCCAATGTGGCTGGTCCCCCTCTCAGGGCAGCTACTGATCTTCGCCTTAGTAAATTTTTATATTACTAACTAGCTAATCAGATATGAACTTTTTTTTAGACAGTATTAACTTTTTAAAAGCAACATATATGCACTTATCAGAGATTACTTCTAAGTTATTAGAAATACTTCCAATCTAAAATTAAATTTTCATATTTTACTCACCAATTCACTATAGTTAATTTATTAACCATTAAATTTGCATGTGTTAGGCACGTCTCTTGCGTTTTTCCTGAGCCAGGATCAAACTCATTTAGTACAAAAAATATTTTATAAAATATAATACATTTAAGAAGTTTTTATATATAATCTATGGTTTGGAGATAAGCGGAATCGAACCGCTACCTTTTTCTTTGCAAAAGAACTATTCTACCATTGTCATTATATCCCCCTATAATATATATTATATATTCCTCAGTAGCTCAGTGGTTAGAGCTTTCGGCTGTTAACCGAAAAGTCGCTGGTTCGATCCCAGCCTGTGGAGTTATTTATTATTTATATATTAAAAAATACGGAAGGAGAGATTTGAACTCTCATAGAAAAATTCTATTAGAACCTAAATCTAACGCGTATACCTTATTTCGCCACTTCCGTCTTTAAATTATAAACCTAGTAGGATTTGAACCTACATTAAAAACTTAGAAGGTTTTTATCTTTTCCAATTTAAATGATAGGTTTTTTTAAAGATGGGTAGTGTTAGAATCGAACCAACAACTTTATACTTGTAAAGTATATACTCTACCATTGAGTTAACCACCCTCCTCATATAATAATATATTTATATAAAGCCAATAGCTTAAGTTGGAAGAGCATGTGGCTACGGACCACAATAGTGTGGGTTCAATTCCCTCTTGGCTTTATTAATTTTATATATTTTTAATATAAACGGAGTAGAGCAGTCTGGTTAGCTCATCGGGCTCATGATCCGAAGGTCAACGGTTCAATTCCGTTCTCCGTTTTTTATTTCTTAAGTTATTATTTATTATAATAAATATAATATTAAATATTTATAAGATAAAAAAGAATACCTTGATACTTAAAGACGAAGAAAGACGTTTTAAATTACGAAATACTTTAATTAGCTATATGCAATAAATTAAAGATCTCTGAATAGGAGGAATATACCTTATAATTTAATAAAAAAAGAAAACTTAGAGAACTGAACCATCTTAGTATCTAAAGGAAAAAAAATAACAAAAATTCCCTAAGTAGTGGCGAGCGAAATGGGATAAATATATTTATTTAATATATTTATTTTTAAATAAGTAAATTAGAAAATAATTCTGATTGAAGAAGCAAGAACCTCCTTGCAAAATAAAATACTTTAAAGTGATCGATAGTGGACTAGTACCGTAAGGGAAAGGTGAAAAGATCCCCGGAAGGGAAGTGAAAAGAACATGAAATTTTTTATCTTACAATCTATAGAAGGATTAAAGAATCTAACTATATGCCTGTTGAAGAAGGAGCTGACGAGTCTTAATTATTTTAAGCATTTGGTTAATTTTATTTAATTGAAGCCAGAGTTAACGCGAGTTATTATAATATAATAACAATTGCTTATAATTAAGAACCCGAACCCGGATGAATTAATCTTGTCCAGAATGAAATATAGATAAGTCTATATAGAGGTTCGAACTGGTTGATATTGCAAAATCATCAGAAGAGATGAGATTAGCGGTGAAATGCTTATCGAATTCGGAGCTAGCTGGTTCTCCTCGAAATGCGTTGAGGCGCAGCTGTTACTTAATATATAATTAAGGTGGTAAAGCACTATATTTAATATTTATTATATTTATATTATAAAAATTATATATAAACTAATAATACCTATTATATTAAAAAGTAATAAGTGAGACTATTGGGGAAAATCTCAATTGTCTAAAAGGAAACAACCTACATCATAAGTTAAGGTTTTAAAAAGTATTAAAAATAAAAAGAAATTTAATTTCATTTATATTTAGGAGGTTAGCTTAGAAGCAGCTATCCTTTAAAGAGTGCGTAATAGCTCGCTAAATTAGAAATTATGTACTGAAAATGGTAAAAAAAATACTTTACCGAAACTATGAGATTTATATTTAAATCGATAGAGGAGCGTTCTATATTTAAGAAGTAAAAATGTAAATTTTTATGGAAAAAATAGAAGTGAAAATGTCAGCTTAAGTAGCATAAATATTAGTAAAATCTAATACTCCGAAAGCTTAAAAGTTTTCTACGAAAGGATATACCACGTAGATAAAGTCGGGGCCTAAAATTAGATTAAATATGTAATTGATGGGTAATAAGGTTAAACTTCCTTTACTGTAAATATATATAACAAATAGTGACCTATAATTTTTATTATATTTTTATAATATAGTTTTTAATATATAAATAAAAATATATAGCTGGAAAAATGTATATGTTAAAATATATTATCACCCGTACTAAAACTGACACAAGTAAGCAAGTATAAATATACTAAGGAGTACGAAATAACTTTTTCTAAGGAACTCGGCAAAATAATCCTGTAACTTCGGGAAAAAGGATGTCCAAAGGACTGCAATAAAGAGATCCAAGCGACTGTTTATCAAAAACACAAGTCTCCGCTAAGTGTAATTACAATGTAAGGGGGCTGACACCTGCCCAGTGCTGGTAAGTTAAAAAAAATATTGATAATTATAATATTTTTATAAGCAGATTAATTCCTCTTTGTAATAAAAAGAAAATAAAATCTGATTCTAATTTAGATATACTAGCTTCTTGATTTATAGAAAAATTATTTACAATTGTATAAGGGATAGTTATTGTAAATGTATTATTTCAACATCCCCCAGAAGCAGGTTATGGAGGTGTCCTCTCTCCTGAACACCTCAGCGTTTCTTAAAGCTCGGCCCTCAGGTGTTCTGATTGCTAGTTCAAAGGGCATCTGCTGGGTGCTGTCTCTGCGAGCATCTTTGGTGAGGGCTTTTCCGGTACTTTTACGGCTTTAAATATCAACATGACCTGTGAGGCAGCTCTGGATATTCTAAGACATCACACACCAAGCCTAGTTCAGCGACTACATGAATCATCTCTACTACACCACACAAAAGTAGCACAAAGGTTTGAATATTACAGACACTTAGTTTAGGACAATCGGAAGCTCTCAAAGACGCATCTCTCTGCAACGCCTGGCCCATCCATCCGCACACAGTAGTCCTTGCCTGCAGGGTCGCAGCCACCTCAGAGCCGTGAGCCTAAGTACAGAGCCCTCCAAATCTACAAATCCCGTGAGCTTTGCCGTTTTGCACACTTTATAGGTAGTGCCATAGATGCATGTAATTTACTCTATGTGGATACCAAAGGCTATTTTTACATACCATCGGAGCGCGCAGCAGTGCAGCTCTGGTTCTCTTCAGCACTGGACCTGCCCTGTATAACCAATTTTAGTTGCTGACTTTGTTTGATCCCTTAGGCTTGATCCTGACACCCATCCCACCCTTGAGCCTTAATAAGCACTTCCCGCTTTGCTCGAACTCCCCTTGCTGAGTAACTGCATCCTGCGGATGCCTTAAGAGGCAACGTTGTTGGCTGAGACTTGCTGTGCCGCTCACCGCAATACCCTCCAAGGAGAAAAGCGTTCCGCACGGAATTGACAGTATATCTACATTCCTCCTTGCATTCGCCAGCAGTATCTCCAACACTGCCTTTCGGTCGACGCTTTTACTGCCAACGTTCGTAGGTGAAATTCGCAGGATTTTGTAGCTACACCCCGCTGTAGAAGCGGAAGCTGGCTAATAAAACAGACGAGAAAGAAAGCTTAAAGGACAAGTAGTTGTGGGCTGCTTTGAGCCGTGCAGTGCTCCCAAGTCCTTGACGGAGCCAAGCCGCCTCAGACAAGGTTCACCGCACTACTGTGCTGGCCCAGAGTTCCAGTCTCATCAGACACCGTCCAGCTCACACAAGAATGCAGACTGCCTACAAAGAATGTGTGACCTGAGACGTAACAATGCTTCAAACCCTCTCCGCTGTCCAATTAAGTCAAGTCTTCAACCCCTGTTTACTTAGGCGTGGGGAAAATATCACTAAATTGCCTTACAGGAAAGGCCCGGTTCTACAATATGACGCGAAACTCAAGCTGGCACGTCTGAGCTCAAGGGACTGACACCACTAGTTGACGGCAACTGACATTATGAAATCAAAAGCAGTGTCTTCCTGCCCTCACTAAAGAAAATGCCGAGCAATTTCGCACACTGTAGTTGTGAAGCCCCTTCAGCAACTGTCGTCCTAAGAGAGATATCCTCAATCTTCCCCCACTTGTCAGTGGACAAACACAAAGGCCGTGCAAGGCTCCCCATGCGGATATGCGCTACATGGCTTGCCCGAATGGCCCGTCTCGCTCCGTTTTGCACCACACACCAGTGACTCTTCCCCGAAGCAGAAGAGCTCATACCAGCGGCAGCAAGCTGGCCAAACACAAGGAATGAGACATAGCCTGACCCCTCTGGGCATGTAGCGAGGCACTAATTGATCCCTATCCTTCTACCTAAGATTCCCACACCACCATAAGAGTAACACTGTATGTTTTGCAGGGAAAACGCTGTGAACTACAACAAAGAACAAACGCACCAAACCACGCAGATGGTATACAATAAGGCACGTGGAAAGCAGCTGCAGAAGCCGCCCTGTTTGTCACAACCAGCGAGAACCTACGCAGCTAGTTCGATTACCACGTCTCATAGTTGTGTCCAAGTCCGTGCGTTTTGGGCAGTGATAAGCCAAATCGTGCCCTGGTTCCGTTTCCCTTCACAGTCTTGACGCAAACAACAGTGGCAGCCTCACGGCCCCCAGGCGCCCTGAAACAGCTAAAAGCTACTACTAAATAGGCTGCGTCGGGACGGGCTGTCGCAAATAAAAAAAGGACCACGATGCCGCAAGGCAGCAAATCCACAAAGGCAATATAACAAACAAACGTATTGGACGCAAGGAGAAAAGACGAACAGGGAGCTGCGTGAGGTGTAGGAGGTGACGCGAAACATATCGGACTTGAAGTATAAGCTTTCCGCCTTCGCCTTGCCTTCTTCCCATCACTCTATTGTGAGACTGCGGAAAGAACAATGACAAAATCATGCGTCTTGTTCCATATGTATTTCGCCGTACATCGTCTTTATCTCTTCGCAGAAAACCTGCACGGAATGCCCACACGCAACACCAACGTTGGCAAACTGAGTCCGAGTTTACAGCTCGGCATGTACAAGCGGCTGCTCTGCGCATATTAACACGGGCATAGCACTACAGACGTATTCACCCTGCGATGTACACAACGCCTTCCATGCAGATACAAACAGCAACCATATTCGTACTCCGGAGTTCGGCTCCTGTGGAGGCCGCCGAACATCCAACAGAACAGTTGACCACTTCGCTGTGTATTTTAGTCTTCATGTTCCCCAAAAGGCGCAAGTCCAAGCTCAAGCGCTTGCTGGCTGTGCCACAAATTCCCCTACATAAGCCCGTCGTTGTATCAATGTCCTCCGCCTCCCTGGCGTGGAAGTCGCTAACCTCTTGAGCATAGTGACGCTTGAGTTTAAAAGTAGGCGTCAACAAGCCGTTTTCAACCGTGAATTGTTCAGAGTGGAGGTGTATTTTTCTGGCAAGCTCAAATCCCTTCAGGCCCTGCATCTTTCCAACCTGCTGCATGTCGTCGTAGACAGCCTTCTGCACTGCAGAGTCTTTCACCCACTCTTCAAAAGGCCGAGAGTCAGCAACATCAGCTCCTCGCACCTCTCGCAGCCAACGCAGAGTCTGCTCTTGATCTGGCACGACAATTGCGACGAGAGAGGTCTGGAGTGGCGAGACAAAACAGAAACAGGAGACAGCTGATATTACCCTAAGTATGCTAGAAAGCCCAAAGTTGACCACTTACTTCTTTCGTATGCACGAATCACAAATTGCGCATGTCCTGCACGTGTCCTCACTCACGCACCCATGCCCACGCATGTGCTTGTACGCACGCATTCATAAGTCGACGTAATAATGCATTCTTTTGCTTGAAAAACACGGCTACATACTTACGAAATTCTGTATATGCGCGCAAGAAGCAGCATGGATTCAGTACGTTCACTGTTTACCTGCACAACTACATATGTACACTGTCTATGCGTGCACACCACCTGTGAGCATCCAAGTTTGTCCCTTTATGCCTATTTTGCACGCATGAATTCATGAATGTGAATGTGTGCACTTTAGCTCAATATTATAGCATCTCTGCATTCGTCAAGCCATCGTCTCGTTTTCCCTTCTATGTGCGTCTGTGCCTGTTTCTGCTTCCCTCAATCTGTCTGTGCATGGACACATTCGTGTTAATATCTGATCGTCATTTTCAAATACCTCTGAAGAAAATCCGAAGACAAAACACTGCGCCACGAATCGGCTTTGCATATACACTGTCTCCACCTTTTCAGGGGCCACATATTCTCCCTGCACCGGAGAAAGTAAAGCACATGTGTACAATGCGAAAAGAGGCCGAGATGTAACAAAGCAAAGCAGCAGCGGTCGAACGATATCAGTCAGGCATAGGAACACGCATCCTCAACAGACACTGGAAAAGCGACACACAAGAGGCAATGCTATGGGAAGCAGACGAATAAATCAAGGCAAATGCTGACGCGGCTATGCCACGGTAACACCACAGCACAGAGGTAACAGGGGAAGAAGGCCAGATGCGCTAGAGACAGAGAGAAAGTCACGAAAAACAAAGAATAGTCACAAGAAGCACAGAGTAACGTGGTAGAAGGTTAAATATACATTAAAATATCGCTGTGTGAAATGTGTTACGGCTGTTCTGCTTGACCTGAGCAAGCTTGAAAATGTTCTTCTTCCTATCTATGATTTGCACTCCCCCGTTGGGCAAAAGCGCAGCTATGTCCCCAGTGTGGAGCCACCCGTCTTTGTCTATAGCGGCTCGCGTCTCTTCCGCATTGCGAAAATACCCAGCCGAGACCGTAGAGCCCCTGACGCAAAGTTCCCCTTTCGGAATTTCATCTTTTATGGAGTACTTGTTCATAGTTTCGCTGACGTCCAATAGACAGAATTCCAAAGACGGCAATACTCCACCTATCTGCCCTGGATTGTTGTCGTACACGTTCCATGTAAGAAAGGAAGCGCCCATTGTTTCCGTCATGCCATAACCCTGGGCAACAAAGCAACACACGTTCAAGAAAATGCGCATTCGACAACATCGATTCTGTGCGCTGGAAGGCCTGAAACGTCCGGCAGGCACACTACATCAACAACAAAAAGCCACCAAACAAGAACGGCGAGGCAAACACCTGGTTCATCAGATTGCCGGACACATACGTCCAAATTCACAGGGGCCTGAATGAGATAGAAGCAATTTCATGTGCAAGTTCCTGAGGATTGCATTATCACAGCGAGTGGTGCGAACATAACACGACCACATAACGCAATAAAGCACGAAGAGCGGGAGAGAGCGTGCACACTGCCAGAAATGATGTATACTCAAAAACTCCAGCAGCCAAGAGCCTCAAACCCCGTTGAAAACCCCCCAAACACCCCGAAACAGAAGATATGTGCACATAAACAGGCGGGAACCACAGCTGGAGACGCATACACTCACTCAGCTACACAACCAAGTAAGACACGCACATACATGAATTCACATGCGTGAAAGCGCACAGACAGAACACATAAGAGCCACATGAACACCAGTGAACAAGCAAACAGGGCTCATGCCTTTCTGTTGAATATGCACGTCTGTTTAATGATGCAATCATGCAAAGACAGCCGGGAATGCATGAAGAAGGGTGAAAACATGCGCGCAGACGCGCCGTGCGCTTACTTCAACAATCCAGCAGCAGAAAAATGCCCTCATCCTCTCAAGAGTGTGGGGGTCAAGAGGAGCAGAGCCCGTTAGCATAATACGCACGCGACCGCCCATGAGATTCTTGAACTTGTCAAACACAACCTGCAGCGACGAAGCAGGAAAAGCCACGAGCAAGATATACACTATGTCCCCAAAGTGGCAGCTGCACTTTAGGAACAGTACTTGAACAAAACGCACAGACCAGCGTGGGCCCTCCTCAACAGCATAGTGGTGCTGCGCTTGTATGCCCGCTTCGCCTTACCTTGTCCCAGAACGGATGCTGAGGTATGCCTGAGCTTCGCAGACGTCGAATTTTCGCGGCCAAGGCTGAGAAGCGCCGACAGAGCATGCAACAGTATCCGAGACGCAACGTCAAGTGCAGGCGATGGCCCAGCCGAGTACACTGTGAGCAAGGCCGCGGCAGAGGTGGTCAGTCATCGTGTCATATCTATCGTCACTGTTTGTGTCATGCATCCGCGTTCTTTCGTGTGCACGCACAGAATGACACGAACATGAATCCTGATTTCTGTGGCTATCTACAGCCAAATGGTAATACGGGAATTCGTATCTCCCGTCAGTGCTTCAGAATTGTATGCTGAGCCCCTTCGGCCATCAGCGCAAAATACTGTTATTGAGAGGAAGCAGTACGAAGTGGTGAAGGCAAACGTGTAGTATAAAGGCAGATGCTCAGTGGCTATTACCTTGGTTGAAAAGGGATCGCGCCACGAACGACTTTCCCTGCAGGCTACTAGTTACTCTGGCTTCGATCCTCTGAAAGAGCCGAGGGACGCTGACGGACCAAAGACCCATAAAGCGCAAAACACAAAGACAATATTCATGTGGAAGTAAATACACCGAGAGGATTCACGGGAAAACTGAGTATACCGTCGATACAGCAGTGCGTAGACATGCACAAACAAAAGCAGGCAATGCAGCGCACCCTACAAAGACTAATGCTCCTGTTCTCAAGAGTACAAAAAAAGACGACAATGAAAACACGAAGAAAGCGTCTTTTCACTTTCCTAGATGCGTCCTCGCCCATATGCGCGCATCCTACACAAAACGACAGATTTCACCTTCCTCAGGAAGTCCTTACCTGCAGAAGACTGTAGGTTTCAAAACCTGCACATCGTCCAGCAACTTGTGAGTGTCCTAAAAAACACAGACCAAAACGACGCAGAAGTATTCAACATAGTTAAGAACGTAGGTAAAGTGCAACGATTTAAAGTGAAGGCAGTTAAAAGCCCGTACACCGCAACAACGTCACCAGAGCTGTCGGAAAACACAACAAGCTTCCACTTTACAGAAGTTACCAGCCTAGAAAGACTACGTCACCAACCAATGGAGTGCATTTCTCAAGCTGTTGTGGTGCAATCAAGTGAAATTGTTTGCTTATGTGGGACTGCTGGAAGTGAACAGGGAAGCCTCACGCCGGAGTAAAAGCCAACCCTGGCGCCGTAGCTGAAGAACACATTTTCGCAAAAGCGCTCGTAAACGTGAGCGAGCGGAAGGTAGGAAAGTAAACAGTCGGACGAATACAAGTGCAAGCCGTTCTCGTGGAGAGCTGATGCAAACAGCGAAATAAGCTCAAAACAGAAGAAAAAGCTGTGAGTTACCTATAGTCCTGTACAGCGTAAGACCCAGCATACTTTGTGGTGATTGCGTTCCATTGAGCTTGCAAGTTGCTTCGATGCCTTCAATATTCCAGTGTTAATGTAAACATACAGCCGATTACAGTAGTGGTCGCAGAGAGCGTCCGACAGGACAAAATTATGGGAAAACAATGGGCGAATATACAAAACTGCAGATGCGTACTGTGGAAGGAAAGTCACTACGACAGGCAAGGAGTGGTAGGCAAGAGACACTGAAAATAACCACGAAAAGATGGAGAAACAGATTTGCAGGATGAGCATAAAGAAGTGACAGTAGACAACAAATATGATGTGGAGACACACGGCCTTCAATAGCAGTTGCGACGCAAGCTACGAAGTTCCCGTGGGACATCATCACGCCTTTCGGACTGCCAGTCGTCCCTGCAAGGCAGGACACACAATACTGAGCCCTGAATCCTATGCCCCAAACGGCAATCTCCGAGCTGCAGGCCTTATGTAGCAAGCCCTATGCTCGAAGGAAAGCATGGGCGTCCAAGACTGCAAGCGACGTCTACAAACTAGGTGACTGCGGAACTGGAACACTGACAGTCTCAAAGAAGCAGTCTCACTCGTGGCTAGCGATTGAGCTAGATTGCTACCTAACCGCTAGTACGTCATTCGCTAGTTAAACAGTCCACTGCGCTCTTGCCTGAGGTGTAGCAGATGGTGTGTAAGGACTCCAGCGTCGGCTGCACCTCATTTGAAAGAGGAACCACACTCCGCCTTCCCTGTAAACAAGAAAGACAACAATTTTCAGGGAAGTCCGTCATAAGTTTATTCGCCACTACCTGTGTTGCTAAGAAGCACGTGCTGATCCACCTCATAAGCTCGTAAACAGCAAGAATTCGATCTATTCACACGTCTCAATTCTCAAGGAAGCTTCGAAACACATGTTTCCTTTACCGTCCCTCCCCTGCTCCTGTGTCCCTATACTTCTGGTGTATTTAATCCATTTCGTCACTGTTGAAGATGTTTCTGACGAAGCGTACGAGCTCTAGTAAGTCGTTCCACGACAGCAAACGCAAGTTGAGAGTGGCGGCTCTCTCCTTCTGATCTTCTGGTATATCATCCACGGTGACTATACACTCCATAGCAATGTCGCGCTGCTGGCTGGTGGCGCTGGTGCTGTCTGCGGCATGCTGCTGTTGCAACGCGTCCAGGAGTTTGACAAGACAGTCCCCGTCACTCACGACGGTTTTCATCTGCGTCTCTCCTAATATAAATCGTGTGCTCTGTGGCCCCAAAGTGTCGTACAGGGGGATGACTGTTATGCCGTACGCGTTTGCTGCGAACAATATCCAGAGACATATTACATTCCTCATGGCACTACCATTAGCAGACAGACGGATATAACCCGCTTTCCGAGTAATTATTATGCACATGCTCTAAAGACGGATGTGCGTGTCTAGACTCACTACTGTGCATAGGCATGATGAGATACATGTATACGCGAACATAAACAGTAACGGACGCGCAACACCTTGAAGATACTTCCACTCTACGCCCACACATGAATCTGTGCAATCCTTGCAATTGAACGTGCTACTACTTCAAAGCACGGACACATGCATAAGCTAAGAAACCAACAAGTAGACAAGCAAGTAAAGGGGAAACTAAACGAGGGAAGCAGATGGACTGACGAGTTGAAACTCACATGCATGCTCTGTTATGACCCATTCCTCCCTATTTTTAGCAAAAATGCCTATGCAACGTAAAGTTAGTTGGCTGCCCGAAACGTCAGTAAAAACCCGCTGGGGCACAAGGTCTTCGTTAAGAAGGCCGCTGCCAACTTCTATGGCAAGTCGCTCAACCTGAAAGCACCATGACGGAGGAAAAGAAAACGCATACGTATGAGACTGATTCTGATTGTTATATGAAGTCTCGGAGGTAGCAACAGATGCAAAAGATGTATCCATCACAAAGGCCGGACGAAAAATCGATCACACAGCAGGAAGCTGGAAGGAAAGTAGACACTGCAACCGAACATAGTCAGGTGAAAAAAGTAGAAGCGGCCACAACACCAAAGAATGAAATTGACAGAGTGGCTTGAGACAAGAAAAGGACAAAAAATAATGGGCACGAAAGGAAAACGTTTACCTCTCTATAAGTTTTCCACACATAGTCCCCCTTTCTTCCATCAGGCAGGAGCTGTCGAGTCCCCAAACAAGGACCTTCGGGGGATCGGCCCACTCCCATTTGAAAAAGCTCCCACCTGCAGCCAAAATCTGAATCCTCATGCAAACTGTTCTGATTCTACACTTACGAAGGTTGCAGACCGAAGTTGTCCTCTTCACTTCGCCTACAGAACTCTCTGCCGCATAATCTAAAGCTAGTTATTTCTCACGCATTTTTGACTGGGTTAGTCGAAAAATTGTCAGCTAGCCTGTCCAAGCAAGAATAATGCCGACGTGCAGCTGTGCGTCCAGCTGCACGCACACACCACCGCAAAAGAGCAACACATTCGTCTAGCTATCTAACTACTTGGTGCCTATGCAGCACAAAACTCCATAGAGATCTATGCTACTGAACTGTGTCGCGGGCAGGTCCATAGTTGGTTGTTTGTGACATTAATGCAGAACCATGCACACAGCTTCTGTGTTTACATATGTCCACATATTGCCACCATGCATTGAACAAATTTGTGCGCACGCTTGTATTTTAATGAGGTAGCCGTTTCCAAGCATTGGGCCTGTTAATCAAAAATGGGCAGAAGAGTTAGGAAATGAAACGAAGGAAAAACGGATCAAATACGAGACCAGGGCCAGCAAGTGGCAGCAACACGGCCCGGCGACAATCCAACGCAGCACTTGCAGGGTTAATATTTGAGCATGCGAAGGCACATTTGCCGCACCCGTCTCCTCTGAGCCTGGGACAATGACTGAATACTGCACGTCCTTCACAGATGAGTTCGCTGCCCCCATCTTTTATTCTGCTGTTTTGGCTCCAAGTTGTACGGGTTGGCTGGTAGTTTTGCAGCATAAGCAACGAAGCCACGCTTCGTGTTCAGTATCCTTCAGGCTGAATGCAAGGAGTTGCTCTGAAGGCCCCGCCCGCTTCGGTAGAGGACGCGGAAACGCCACAAGTGTTAGCTGGGCTGAGCTTCGTTTGGAGCACTGCGGAGCGTCGTGGCGCAGGCAAATGCTGCCAAGGGACACTGTAATAAAGATTAACGCAAGAGGTCTAATTTCTGCTGTATGAGGCGTAGTGAGACATGAAAAATAGACGGACAGGCCTCCAGTAGGGACGCTGCAGCAGAAGGGAGGCCGAGGCGGGCTGTCGCGAAGTCGCATACAGCTCAATAGGACAAAAACGGCACACGTGAAGAAACTCCACCAATGAAAAATACAGACCAAGACTGTTTTACACGTTTGCAGTACTTCCAGTGTAAACAGACAAACAGACAGGCATGGGGCTTCCTCAGCTCCGCCAGGCCCCCCAGGTACGTTGCCTGAGCTTCAGCGGACTTTAGCATCAAAACACAAAGTCCGTGAGTACACTGAAAGAGATAAAATTAAGCACGTTTTTTTGTAAACTGCGCAGTGTAGTAATATGTAGTCTTAATTCTTCTGCGTTACGTGGGCACTTTTCGGCCCTTACACCAACAACCCTCCAGGGACAAATCCCCTAAGAGAAAAACAGCCAGAGCGGGGCAAAAATTATGACGTCAACTCCAGTAACAACGAAGTTGATTCGCCGAAGTTGTATGGCTAGGGCTTGTCATCTATTCTGCCGTGCTAGTTGCTTGCCATATAAACTTGACGTATTAAGAATCGAACCTCCCTGGCCTGCTCCCCAGTTCGCTGGGGAGCAGGCCAGCGAGGTTTGATTGTACACGGCCACTGTATTTGTGCTGCGCGTGGCACAACGTCTGCGCGCTGATCTCCATGCTATGTACCGCGCAGCGCGTTTACCTAGCGAATGGCGGAGTGTAGTTGAATTAGTGAGGCAAGGCCGATAGCATGCACACTGTAGCCACTCCAATCAATCACTGTTTATCCTGCCAACGCATCTTCCGTGGCCTCTCATTGGTTTCTGACTCGTCCCCTCATGCCGGGTAAGTTACTGTACGAGTGAGGATGCAGCAGGCAAGCGTATGAAAATGGCTTTGGCTGATTGTATGTTAGACTTGCTAGAAGGACTGGGAACTGTGCCCGGATTCTTCACTTTCAGGCGAAATGCCCCTCGTCAGACCCGAAGAAGCTCCCGCCACGTTTCCGTGGGGTCATCAGGAATACATCTACGGTGTCCATGAGTTTCTCCTCCTTCACAAGACCTCATCCAGCACTAATGTGCGACGGTGAGAATAAAGTAATCACGTAAACTACGAAGCCGGCACTTAATTGCACAGTTCAGAGAAGAGCCCCACTGAGGTAAACAAGCAAGCGCTCCATAGTCCTGAATAGGCAGAAAGAGTATAACCTCAGTGGTGTATCTGTCGCCAGCACTTAAAGCGACAAACTTCACCTTTACTTACACCCGAACCCAACAACCCAAACAAGCCAATCCTCGTCTACACTTCCCGTCTCGCCTGACACCTATGCAAACTGGAAGTCGACGTATGCCATTTCAACGCTACTTCTCCTACAGAATTGTGTCGCAACCGTGATTCCAACTTCAGTGACTCGCAAAAATGTTCTGCACCGGTTCCTGAGGCCGAAGTGGCGGCGCTCGCAAAGCGAGAGCGTCTGCCAATGTTGTTGAAATGTATTCGAATTGTTCTCAAGTTCTTATGAGACTGTATTCATCCACGAAGTGTTAGCTTCAAAGTTGCCCATCTACTTTGCACACAAAGAGGAATACTGCCACTACAAATCCTTCCTTTCTCTCCCGTTTCCCACGAAAAAAACACTCGCCGAGTCGCCCTTTGGCATGTACGAAGCGCCGCTCCTTCACACCCGTGGCCGTCTTCAAGTGTGCCAATCGTGCACTGGAAACTGCCCATTTGTCCTTCCGCGGCATCGTCTACTGTAATTTGTACGCGGGAGCAGTCTCGTTGCATTTGGTCTGCGGAAGCGTATGGCTCAGCGGAAAAAATGAATGTCTGAGCATCCGTTGTCATAATGCGCAGAGGCGCACGGTCAATCTTCTTCCCTCCTTTTATCCTTTTTACCCTTGGGCTTGAAAATGTCGGATTCGTCGGGCCCTAGAACGTTCTCATCAGAAGGTTTCAGTCCCGTCCGCGCTTCAAATTGCATGCGGGCAAGCCTGGCATTGGAAAGCTTCTGCCTTTTTTTGTTGTGCCGGCGCATCAGCCACGAAAACAGTGCCAAGGCACCCCCAACTAGAGCTACAGTGCCAGCCCCTCTAACAAGCCGAGCAGCTGACGGATTGTGCGCTACGCCCCCTGCATTTTCGTGAGCCTTTCCAAAGCCCGTCAGACCGCCCGCAACTGCGGCGCTCACTCCGCTCATCATGCTAAGCCTCTCCCACCACTCCTTTTGTTTCTCAGCTTTCATGAACCTGTCGTACTCCTTTTTCCCTGTGACCACACGGCAACACAGGCAACCTCGTGCACCTCTGCCTCCCCACCACCACATTTACGCTCCTCGTTCTATACAGCTCTCACTCGCAGGCAACGGGTAAAGGATGCACTTGTTCATGCCTACACGTGAAAATAGTCAGAGCCTCAATACTAGGCTGTGTCCTAACAAGCAGGAGTACAGAAGCTTCGGTCAACGAGTGCTTATTGACGTACACAAATCGGTTTCTTCGAGCTCCTCTGGAGTAAACTCGGCGACTTCCTGCTCTTGACTCTTTTTAACTGCATGCACAAAGACAGTCGATCACATACAGTGGGTAAACGGCTACTGACTGGTAACACGGTCTTAGGCGGCCTCACTATGAGATTGGAACAAGCAAATACAAGATCAATCGATAAGGTGATGCATTATACGCCATTCGTTAAGGGTGTCTCGTGAGTAGGCTGAACATAAACACTGTCAAACCGACTTGTTGCCTGCTTATATTCCTTGCTCTCCAGAAGGAGGGTCTGAATGTCTTCCTTCAGCTTCGCCATCTTTTCTTTTGCCTTCTGAAGCTCCTCAGGAGACTTCAACTTATCCAGTTTTTGGGCTGCTTCATCTCGCGCTGCTCGTGTTGCAGCGAGCCTTGCCGCCTGAGCTCCATGGTAGTCCCTTTCGACTATGCTTAGAAAGCAGAATATCCCGAGTACAACCAAGTGATACGTCTGCGCTTTAAAAGCCTTCATTGCGCTCTGGTTAAAAAGCCATCAAATGAGCTGTCCGTCTGATTCCGTTGTGCGACCAGTGGGGTTGACCAGAGAAGACTTGCTAGCGCTCGTCAAGACGCCACGATCGCGAGCCCATCGGCCACTTTCCTCTAGCCTTAAAGTTGAAAGCACGAATATTATGTATTAACCCAATAAAATAGATAGAAATTTTGGCGAGGAGAAACAACTCATCCCCAGAATCGACAGTGCCGCTTGCTGGCAAGTCTGGCTCGGGGATGACGCTCGCGCCGCGCTTTCGAATGACAACAGCGGCCACCTGTAGCTATTTAGTCAAGTTTGAAAGAAGAGATAAAAAAAGCGATATAAATAAGTAGCAAGGTTAAATGAAAGTACTAAGCGCTTAGATGCGGAGACTCCTCTTACATGAAGTTGCCTATGCTAGATGCGCTCTTGTTGGGTTGGGGCCCTCAAAGCCTCCGTCATGCATTGCGCTGCTTGGGCTGGCGTGGGGCAGTGAGGCCACAGTCCCTTTCAACAGGAGCCCATAGTTTTTCTTGTCGTGCTCTGTGAGCAGTTTGTTATTTACTATAAAGGAGAGCCAAGGATTTGGCTTCTTTATGCAAGTGTGTCTACCTTGTTGAAAGTACACGCCTGCAAAGGCTCCGTTCTGTAGGCGCCCGCCCCACATTAGAACAAGTTTGCAGCCTCCTTCCTGTTCTGCACCACGACAATGGCGGTAAGTTCTCTTCAATTTTTTTGTGCGTGGTTCTCTTTTCTGTAAGAGGTGGTGTAATGCATGGGGGCCTTAATGCCAAGGAGAATGTGGAAGACCTTGTGAGGAACTGTGGGGCGCGAGGAGCAGCTCAATATCTCCAAACTCTCTCCTGGGAACATTTTCCCGGCATACTGTGGTCCCTAGAAAGGCAATATAGCTTCGTTGAAGACGAAAAAGCTCCCTGGGAGAATTGTCCTCGAGCTCTACGTTTCCGGAGCTATCGGCATTCTA